TCACCCATCATTTGTTTCATGGTACCAGCAAGCGTGAGATTTACCACCAATGGTAAACCTTTTGGACTTCCGGCTAACCAAATGGCCACTGAAGCTTTAGCAAGGCACGCAGTTGACCTTAAAACATCATCGAAATCAGTTTTACTACCATTTGACTCCTTCTTTCCATTCACATCTTTTGATTTCTCAGGGAAAAAATGAACCAAAAGATGTAAAAGAACCAAGAAAGCCGCTGAGAGACCTACTCTTCTAATGCAGGAGCTTCGTTTGTCAACCCGAGCTTGTAATGAAGTTCTTTCTTGGATTCAGCGCCTATAATAAAATTGCTAAGCGCAAAAACCGTTACAATCAAAAGGAGAGCTATAAAATACTTCCACCTTCATACCAACCTTCTTCCAACCCGTGTTTTTTGATCCCAAAACCAAGAGAGGCTGCAGACCATACGAGAAGGCAAACTACGGTGGCGTCTTTGAAAGCCTCCATAATGAAACGTAAAAACCCTTTCGGCGGTAGCTGAGACCTCCGGCTAATGTCTTGGTTGTTGCTGCTGATTGCATCAGTACTGGGATTTGTTTCCTGCAGACCAGAGGTCAAGGCCACGAGTTCATCTCGTTCAAACATCCGGACATATCCCAAGCCATTTGTCAGCACCATTTCTGTTAGTGTTTGTCGGACAAAAGGGAAGAGTCGGGTGGTGTCAACTGTCAAGTTTTTTCTTGAGGAAGTACGTACACCAAACAGCTGCAAACAGAAGTATTATAGCTAGCTGACAGTAGGGTATTTGGGTTGAGATGTTACAGGTTGGAGAGGTATATGGGATGTACATGTACAAAATTACAGAAAGACCAAAAATCATCGCCTGCATTCACTCTTTCCTTCATCGAGAAACCAACTTTCCCAAGTAGCGTCAAATTATCCAGCTGCGTTTGTTTCATTATTTCCCACTGTCAAGGTCACCTTTACACACCCTTTACGTAATTTCCTTGACATTATACTAATAATAATTTTATTATAATATTAAAATTCAAAATAATTAAAATTTTATATGAATATAACATATATCACATCATGATATAATAAAAATAATATAAAAGATTATGTAAAAGAAGCATTACTCATTTTTCAGTATTCTATCTCTATTCCAGATACTTTTGGAGCGATTGTTTTCCTATTTTCAAAACAATATCTTAAATTAAGAAGTTCTTTTAAACTCTCTAAGTTTATTAATTAACAAAACAATTCTAATAAATTTTTTTATAAATTAACGAAAACACTCCTACCTACCCATAGTTGCCAAATTCTGACAACCACCGTCAATGATGGCTAGAATCTGTCACAACAGCGCACTACCGATCAGAAATAGCCGGTAATGCACAGATTTGGTCAGAAAAAGCCAGATCAAAGCACGACCGACCAGATTCGACTGGTCGTACACCGTAACGCCAGATTCAGACGGTGGTGGCCAGAACCTAACACTGTGGGTGGGGGGTGTTTTTGTCATTTTTCAAAAAATTTATATATTAGGTTGTCTAGTTAAATTAGCAAACCTATGAGGTTTTTTGTTAATTTTTAAATTCTACCTCATAATCATCACCCAACTCTACCTACCAATAATATTCTAAAAATACTACTCAAAAGTCAAAATACTAAAACAAACACACCTTGCCAAGGTTTAGACTTTAGAGCAAACGACATGTTCCCACCGAGGTTTAGACTTTAGAGAAACAGCAAGTTGATAACATGGTTTCATTTATTCCAGATTCAACCATATGATTTTATTCATTCCAGATTCTTATTCTTAAAGTAATAGGTTCTGACATGATGCTATTACCAAACTGCCCTCCTCCCCCATTCCAAACCATCCTACACTACCACCACATCCTATTCCAAACCACCTCCCGAACCACCACCACAGCCGACCAAACCACCCTATTCCAAATCCCACAACCACAAAATCAAGACTTTTCACAAAAAAAATTCAGGCTAAAATTGCACCATTTCAATAATTAAAACAAAAAAATGCAGAGGGGAAAATGGTGGGCTCTGGCTGCATTGTTGTGTCTTTTTCACAAACAGATGGTGGGCGCCGGTGGGTGAGTGGAACTGGCCATTTAGTTTCTTGGGGTTGGGGGCATGTCACGCGTATTTGAAAAGGTCAACATTCCTTTCATTATATATAATTATAAACACACAGTCCTTAAATTCTGGCCAGGGCGGTGGACTATTATTTATTACAATCTGATAATTGTTTATGAAAATGGGTAATTGGGGATGAAATTTCATAAAACCTTCCTGTTTGTTACTCTTTTTGAAAAATATTATTCTAAAAAAGTATTTTAAATTAAGTTAAGTTGAATCAAATCGAATTGGATTTAAATTTTAAAATGTGTTTGATAAAATATCTAAAAATTATATTAGAGTTTAATCAAATATTGAATAGTTGTTTGATATAATTTTTTAGAAAAGTTTTTAAGACAATAATTGTTTGATACATTTTGTGAAAATATTTATTATTTGATTTTGAAACTTTTTTTTTAATTTAAAATAATATTAAATAATTGTTTGGTAACTTTTTTATCACTAAATTTTAAAAAAGAAAATCTCTATAATAATTTCAACTACTAATATATAATTTAAAAACTATAAATGGAGTACATTCAAATATCGTAAATTCATAGTGCATTAATACATATCTAAATTAATAATAGAAATCTACTAGTAATCAATCATTAAAATCATTACATAAATATTCCATCAACAATTAGAACAGTGACGGACCCAGAATTGTCACCAAGGGAGGGCTTCCACGGCTCCACCGTTGTTTGTCAAACAACTAGTGAGTTTTAGGTTGGATTTCCAACATTGAAAGCAACCGAAAATCTGGCTGCCATGTGAATTGAGGTGGTAGTGGGAAATGTTGAGTGATGACGACAAATAGAGGCTTGGGCTTTGCAGAGGAGGAAATGAGGATTCTGTGGGCAATCGAGAAAGTGATTTTGGACATTAGAATCAGTCGAAAAATGACAAGAATTGCCAAATGTTTGTTGAATACTCTGTCCTCATTAATAACAAACTTTTGACCATTTTACCCTTCCCCATAACAAAAATTACTAACTTTTGGGTCATAAAAAGGTATTTAAAAAATTGGTAGGTATGAATTTGTCAATGGGTATTTTTTGGGGGGGAACATGTCATTCACTCGTTTTTTTTTTAGTATACATATAAGTATTCAATTTAGTGCATGGCAGCCAGATATCAGGAGCTGGCAGGCAGATATTAGGAGCTTTTACGTAATATCTTTTAGACTTCTTATAAATAACAATAATAGGAAATGCAAAACTTGTAGAAAATCCTGGAGAGCTTTAGAAATTTGTCAAATCGGCTCAAACCACGGACTTTACAAACTAGAATTATAGTATAATATTTTAACAATAATGTTAGATCAATAATACTATTCTTATAAAAATTGAAGGTGATAAAAAATTAATAAAAAAATAAAATAAAAAATCAAACTTATTAAATTTATTCTTTCATTTATTTTTTACCACATCATTTTATATGAAAATCTTTGTTAAATTTCTTTGTAAGTATAGTATTATTCATGTTAGATATATAAAAAAATCTTATAAAAATTTATATATAAAATAATATAATAAAAAATGACAAAAAATTAAATTTTTTGTATCATTTTTTTTTTTTTTTTTATCACGATACTTTATACTTAAATCTGCAAAAGAGTGGACATATATTTTCAGATAATATTAGTGGCCCTCCTTGTCCCTACGTGGCTCCTACGTCTATGGTCAACAGACGATAATCATTTTGATTTTGAAATCTCTAACTTATACAGTTATACTCCTCATCCTACACTTCTTTCACATTGAGCTATTGCTTCGTGTTCTTGAAACTTGAAACAAGAGCATGTATGAACTTCGGATTCCTAAACTTAAAGATGGGTTGTAATCACGATATTATTATTATCATTCCATACCATTTGGTTTGTGCTATTGAATGACAAGATTTTAACTATTTAAATAGGTTACACTAAGGTTTAGGGTTTAAATTTTATAGAGTGATTATTCATCATATTTGTGAATTACTTGATTTATTGAATTTGTAAAGTGTTTAATAAACTTCAAAAGTTAATTGAGATGTATACACCGTAACCCAATTACCACGTTTATAAAAAAAAAAAGAAAATTGTATAATAACCGAGACACCGATAGTTCAAAATGCAATTTATGGATTATGTAGCAGCTACATAGTCCATAAATTCTGGCCAAGGCAGTGGATTATTGCAATCTGATAATTGTTTATGAAAATGGGTAATTAGCCGTGAAATTTCAAACTATTCAGCCTTATTTATGTTTTTCAACCTTCATCAGACACCAAGGGATTTAATTGGTATATTTACAAACCTTTGGGGCGTAACAACATTGATCATACCGTCCTAAATTACCAAACGCCCATCCTTAAGCTTCATCATCCAAAACCCTTGTGACTAAACCCTAAAACCAATGAAGCGCACTGAGTCTTTCCTGCGAAAGCTTCAGTCTTGCTTCTCAGTTAACATAATTGGGATCCTGTGGAAAAGGAGAAGCAGGAAATGTAATCAATCTTTCAGTTAAAAAAACTAGCAACAGAGAAATCAGAAGCAGTGATACAAACATAAAAATATCCTTTTGAAAAACTTACTGCATCCACCAAATTGCATTTTGGGATTTGTGAGTAGACATGGGTTCCTAGATACTAGTAAGGGATAAATACAATTTTAACTTTCAGGTTTTGAGAAAATAACTTCAGCAGGTTCTCAGAAATCTTAATCTATTGTCAATGTTTAATAAAAGTATGTATTGCATTTAAGTAATTCTTTTTTGAAATTTGTTATTATTTAAGCGTGGTTTAGCACATGTTCGACGAAATGTCTCGAAGAAATTGAAATGCACCCACTGATTTGGAAAACTAGTTTGTGTGGCAGCTTGCCAGTGAAGTGGATCACAATGAGTGTAGTATGGCCAAGGCTTTTAACACCTAATAACCTGTCTCAGATCATTAGGAAGCAGAAAAATCCACCAACAGCTCTCAGAATTTTCAATGAAGCCCTAGAGAGATACCCCAGTCATCAACACAATGGTCCAGTTTATGCTACAATGATTGGCATTCTTGCAAGTTCAAATCGAATCATGGAAATGAAAGAAGTTATTAATCAGATGAAAGGAGATTCTTGTGAGTGTAAGGATAATGTTTTTGCCACTGCTATACAGACTTATGCAAGAGCTGGATTGTTGAATGAGGCTGTTTCGCTTTTTAAGAACCTTTCACAATTCAATTGTGTGAATTGGACTCTGTCTTTTAATACCCTTTTGAGGGTAATGGTGAAAGAGTCTAAGCTTGAAGACGTTCATCAAATATTCTTGGAGAGTTGTTACGGATGGGAAGTGAAGTCTCGAGTTCAGTCTCTGAATTTGCTAATGGATGTATTATGTCAACGTAAACGATCTGATCTTGCATTGCAAATTTTTCAGGAGATGGATTATCAGGGTTGTTATCCTGATAGGGAAAGTTATCGTATCTTAATGAAGGGTTTGTGTGATGATGAGAGACTTCATGAGGCACAGCACTTGTTGTATTCTATGTTTTGGAGAATCTCTCAGAAGGGTAGTGGTGAGGATATTGTGGTATATAGGATTCTTTTATTTGCTTTATGTGATAAAGGGAAAGTTCAAGAGGCAGTGGAGATTCTTGAAAAGATTTTAAGGAAGGGGCTTAAAGCTCCTAAGAGTTGTCGCCATCGTATTGATCTTAGTCCATGTAATACTGGTGAAGATATAGGAAGTACTAAATGTTTGATTAGTGAAGCTTTGATCAGAGGCAGCATTCCCAGTTTGGCTAGTTACAATGCAATGGCTATTGATCTATATAATGAAGGTAGGATTGATGAGGGTAATAAACTGCTTGACGAAATGCGAAGTAAAGGCTTTTGGCCATCACTGGTGATTTATCAGGCAAAATTGGCTGCTCTGTGTAAAGAAGGTATGGTTGATGAAGCGGTGAAGGTGGTTGAAGAGGAAATGGTGAAAGGAACTTTAGTGCCCACTGTTAAAGTGTATAATATCTTGTTGAAAGGCCTATGTGATGCAGGAAATTCAAAAGTTGCAGTTGGATATTTGAACAAGATGGCTAAACAGGTTGGCTGTGTTGCTAATGAGGAAACATGTGGCATTTTAGTGGATGGGCTGTGTAGAGATGGTAGTTTTATTGAAGCGAGTAAGATTTTGGAGAAGATGCTGATTAAATCTTATTGGCCTTCTGTTCACACTTACAATGTGCTTATAAGAGGTCTTTGCTCAATAGGCAGGCAATATGAAGCAATGCTATGGTTGGAGGAGATGATCAGCCAGGGGAAGCTGCCAGAGCCTTCTGTTTGGAGCTGCTTGGTGGCATCTGTATGCTGCAATATGGCTGACATGAATATTTGCTATAATCCCTCTGAGCAGCTGAGTGTTGGTGATGCAAATGCTGCTTCAGCTGAAACACCTTTTGTAGGATCATCAAGTTCAAATCCTCAAGATTGAGCAAACGCTTTTCATTTTTGAGGTCGATGGAAAATATATTGGGCAAGAATCAGATTAACAAAAAACAGATTTCATGATCTGGATTGTGCAGTGGCCAGAGGATAAATTTTGTACGCTATCTGTGAAAGATTCAAGTCACACTTATTCAGAAACTTTGAGGATCATCCCTATCAGTGTGGTTAGATAAGCGCAGCACTCCTTAATTAGTGGCAATGAAGGATATCATAAAAGGTGGGAGAAGCATCAGAGCCATGACTGGAGGGCAAATCAGCTGTAGAAGCCAGAAAAACAGATTTGGGATTGCTATTGAATTGGAATTGTACAATTCCAGGATGATAAAACAATATTCTTCAGTCATAATCTAAAAGAAGCAGAAAGGTTGGATTCTTTGGTTTCTTGTTGACCAAACGATAAAATTCTTGTACTGTATGGCCTCCATATGTTTACACCAGAACAGAATCATGGCTACCTCTTAACTTGCGGGAAAAGGATACTGTGAAGAAAAAAGGAGAGTTCTGGTGGGTTAGGCTTAGGTAGACTAATTATGGGTGTCTTTCTTCTCCTGTGTGTGTTGAAGAAGATGGTAGAACGCTATATGTTAGGGTTGGTGTTATCTTGGAAGTCTGGTTTTGGAAGCAGCACAAGGGTTTCATGCCGATGTATTCTATACTCTCTTCTTCACTAGATTTTGTCTTATAGACTTGATTGATAAATGAATTCATATGTTTTCTACTGTTAGGATTAATTGCAAGAGTCCTCTATTTGTATCTTAATTTACTAGCCTTCATGTTATATACTCTGTCATGATCCAAGTGATAAATGAATTCATAAATGAGTTTATTTTTTTGTTATACTAGCTGGAAGTAAGAAAAAGAAAGAATCGAAAGAGAAACAGAATCAAAGAACAAAAATGAAGAAATATTGTACATTTTCATCAATGGATGCTATAGTTTTATGAAAAATCTATACTTGATTTTCACAGTTACGATACAATGTTTTTTCAGGCAACTCCTGATTCTTCACCACATAATTCATTTTTGGCCTGTCAACTCCTGATTCTTCAACACATTTTCATTGCCAGATCCACAAACTTTTCAAAACCTATGAGTGCTGCATCCAACCCAATGGTTGGATCAAAAAATTCGTAACGGTTGTATAGATCTTTTTCCTTATCCATTGCTACCTTAATCTCTCTTGCAATATGATTTTCTCATTGTATCAGTCCTCTTCCAGTTAATAATTCCAACATTAACACGCCGAAGCTATAAACATCACTCTTTTCGGTCAATTTTACTTAGGATCCAAATTGAGAGCTACTTTTGTTTTGTCATTAAATGATTCATAAAAATGGATACTAACATGTGCAATATTTTCCTCACGCAAATAGCCCAAATTAAATACTGTGTCACACGATATAGCACTCGAACATACTGTACTCTTTCCTTAAATTTTTTTTTTTTTCAGTTTGCTATGTGTAGTAATATTCTTTCTAGAGCATGTCAATATGGAGGTACTCACCATTGTCCCCTTAACTTCAGTAGTGACATAACTCTTTTCAGTGTCATCCATAAGTTTAGAGATACCAAAAGTCTGCAACTTTTGCTTTGAAGCGCTCATCCAGAAGTACGTTAGCTGATTTGACATCCCTATGTATAATGGAAGGGTGCATGAGCTCGTGAAGATAGGATAGGCCTTTAGCTGCATCAAGGGATATTTTGAGTCTTGTTATCCAGTCCATATTGATTCCAGACTTCCCTGCGTATATAGGCAGTAAATTTTTCAGACAGTTTGTGATTAAACAAAGTAACACTATAATATCAAGGAGCACCATCTACAATAATAATCAGAGGGTATTAGAGAAGATGGAGGCTCTGAACTCTGAAGACAAGGTCATTGAGAGAATTCGAGTTAGATACAACCACGACTGGTCATATTCAAGAAGTATCTCTAGTCTTCTCCATGGTTCTAAATGTGGCCTTCGCACAGTGTTGAACCATCTCGCTTTTATAACAGGTGCACTGTCGTATTGCTTAATTTCATGTGTATTGTATTTCAAGGAAAGGAACATGGTCTAATAATTGGCGATAAACTAATGTGAACTGTTATATGCACTGGAAATTACTACTTTATATATATAAAGTAAGCTATTGAAGAATGATAAAATAGAGTTCTACCTGACAGACTATCCTTCAAAGAACCATTTGAAATATACTCATATATCAGTATTTGTTCATCTTGTTCCAAGCGAAATCCCACTAGGCGGACAACATTTTTATGATGGACTCTTGATAGAAGCTCAATCTCAGTTTTGAATTCTAGTGCACCTTGTAAACATCCTTGCTTAGCTCGTTTTATGGCAATCAGTTGTCCAGTGGGAAGAGTTCCCCCTATAAACCTGCAAAGATTGATGTTGACAGAATCAAAATTTTACAATGTATTGATGCCAATTTTAACTTCTGATATTTCAAACAACCAAACAAAAAATAATTGTTTAGTAATAAGACAGAATGGAACCTTTCCATAACCCCCGGATCCTATGCCGTTGTCTTCAGAAAAATTGTTTGTGTAGTTGCAAAGCTCCTGAAAAGAGAAGCATGTGGCTCCTTTCAGTTCAGCAATGCCACCATGGCTTTTGTTCATGTCCTGGAGTTCTACATTTGTACAACATAATCAACAAAGTACAACCAGGAAAATCGGAAGTGTGGTGTAAATGTTTTTAAGTACCAACACATTTCGTTTGATTCACTCTTTCCACTCCTCTTCCAACGATATGCAAGAGACCCAGCAAGGACTAACAGTATCAAAAAGGCACAACCACCAGCTGTTGTTCCAATGATAATGCCATTGCTTCTTAACTTGTTTGATCCGGTATTGTTTGGTCCTTTTCCTCTTTTGTTTGGTCCTTTATTCTCTGTTCCTGTAGGTTCTCCTAAAAGATGTCACACACACAGATGCATCAAATATCAAATAAAGCAGAATTGTAATGATCATGTTAGTTCTATTTGAATACCAGAAGCACCTGCAAAGTTCTGATACCGATCAGCAATAAAGACGTAAGGCCCAAAAAAGGATGGAGATTTGTAAGTCTGGTTGCTAAGTACAGATCCAGTCGTAGAAATTCCTGTTCGATTGAAACAGTCTTGGCCGGATGGAAATAATAGTAGGCTTATAGTCACGTAGTCTGATGAATCCTTTTGTGGGCTACTCAAGAAAACCGAGTCCACAGGAAGTTGATTAGACTGAAAAAGTTGTCATATTATCTTCCAAGAATTTATAGTAACTGAAGATTTCCAAGTTTGAAAAGGAAGGAGCTTCGAAGTTTAGACTTCCCCTATATGGGTATGCACATTGGCAGGTGGGGCTGGAAATCTTATCTGAACCACAAGAAACAGGAGTACAGTTCTTTGGTGGTGTTGAACAATTGGAACTCAGTTGGAAAACTGTACAATCTTTTCCTTCTCCCCGAGTCCTGCAAATTGGATTACCTGCAAGCCTGTAAAATTATCGAGCACTTTGTTGTCTTAGCCACAACTTGTAGAACATCTTCATTAGGTAACCACTTGAGACATTTAAAATAACAGATGGAACAAACCAATCTCAGATAGATTGAAATACAGATGCAGATATGTTAAACTGTATTTTGACAAACTATAGGAGAAAATATTTTAGAAGTCTAAAGAAATTAAGCCTTACCCTAAGCCAATGCTGCATGCATCTGTTCTAACTGTGTAGATAGAAATTAAATTGTTCTGAAATTGATGAACTGCAGCTGGTTGCTGTGCCTGATGCCAAAATTCAAGCTGCCATTAAGCTGGTTGTTTTCAAAACCCTGTAACCATATTGTGTCAATAAAATCAAGATATATTGCCATCATATGGAGATGTCTTAGGGAACTCTTTTAACATTAGGAGCTGAGGAAATCAAATGAAATTTTCTGTACTGATGAATGTGTTTTGTTGATACTCACACCAGTAATGTTAGTTCCAGAACCCAATCTCACAACTCCAAACGTGACAGCTCTAAAATGAGTCCCACCTACTTGTTATGGGTTCTGCCTATCTATTTGTGAGCTGACCAATTGCAAGTTGTCACGTCGAGAGTTATGAGAGAAGGTTATGAAATTGGATTATGAACCTAACATTACTCTACTCACACAGTCTGTAGTTGAGAAAGGTTGAACAAGTCAGAAGGAACTTGACCTTGAAGCTAAGTCTGCTACATCATTCTGTCAGATGAAATAGTTGATTATTCTCCTTTGAGTCTAACTAAATGAAAGATATGATAGAAAGACATTTTCTGAATACTCAAAATGATATGTATAGGAAGTTGGAAAGTCTTCTAGAGTAGTTTTTGAGCAAGACAGTCGTATCGTGTTTGGTAAAAATTGAATTAAAAGACTTTACATCAACAAAATATTTCAGGTAATTCAATGCGTTGTTGATTCGAGGTCTATATGTGTTGCATCATCTGTGGAGAATGACAAAGAAAGGAAAACAACAGAAACACAAAAAATGTTGTTAAGGCCTGCAAAGTTGAAAACCACAATGGAATACCTGGTGCATTGAAGCTATTGTTACTCATGTCCCTGCAGTTCATAATATCATGTAAATAAGTTTTAGAAATGCTTTACTGACCCTCGTATCAGTGATGACTGAAGATATTGAGTTAAGTGAACATTTTCTACTCACAAGTAAGTTAGGTTCATGCCAGTAAGGTTGTTGGACAACAACCTGGAAAAAAGGGTTATCAAACACTCATTGTTATATAAAAGAACATGATGACAATCCTAAGGCAAGCTTATCGTCCATGGATTATTTTCAGCTTACAGCTCAGTAACATCTGAAAGATTGTTGAGATTTCAAGGAACATGCCCACTCAATGAGTTCCTATCAAGGCGTCTGTATTCAAAGTCAGAAACTTATCAGAACAAAAGAAATCTATATAATCTCATTGTCTGCTATCTTTATTAGTAATTCACACAAACATGGAATCTAGACACT